ATGTCCTTATAAAAGAGACCCCAGGGAGCTCCCTGGCCCCTTCCACCATGTGAGGACACAGTGAGAAGGTGCCTGCTATGAGCCAGGAAGAGGGTTCTCACCAGAATGCGACCATGCCGCCGCCTTGATTTTGTACTTCCCAGCCTTCAGAACCGTGAGCAATAGCTGTCTGTTGTTTATAAGCCATGGGTGAGATGTGTTTGTGTATTATGGGGAAACACGGCAACAGGAGGTCCAGTTAGGAGGTTGTAGGACCATCCAGGCAAGAGCTGATGGTGCCTTAAACTGGAAGGTGAAGGGGATACGTGGGGCAGGGGATGGAGGAAAACAGATGGATTCAAAATTATTAGGAATAAAATCAACAGGGTGTTTGATAGCAAAAAATACCCCCTAGTTCTCAGCATAGTGGCTGGCTTCAGTTAATGTTACTGAACGATGTTGATTGAGTGACTAAATGAATGACAGGGATGCACCCCGTGTCCAAGGGAGAAGTTGCAGGACCCAATTATGGTTTTCATGGGCCTGAGGAAATTTCACCTTCATGGACCCCTTCTTCTGTAAAAAAGGATAAAAAATTATTTTTTAAAAAAAATTTATTTATTTTAAAATATTTATTTACTTATTTATTTAGGCTTTGTTGGGTCCTAGTTGTGGCATGCAGGATCTTTCATTGCATCACGCGGGCTCTTCATTGCAGTTCGCTGGCTTCCCTCTAGTTGTGGTGCGCGGGCTGCAGAGTGCACGGGCTCTGTAGTTGTGGTGCATGGCTCCAGAGTGCATGGGCTCTGTAGTTGTGGCATGCGGGCTCTCTAGTTGTGGTGCATGGGTTCAGTAGTTGCCGTGTGCGGGCTTAGCTCTCCCACAGAATGTGGGATCTTAATTCTCCCAGCAGGGATTGAACCAGCGTCCCTTGCATTGCAAGACAGATTCTTAACCACTGGACCAGCAGGAAAGTCCCTAAAAAATCATTTAAAAACTGCATTTGTATAACTTATATGAGGTCACTAGAGTAGTCAAAATCATAGGGACAGAAAGTAGAGTGGTGGTTGCCAGGGGCTGGGGGAAGGTGAGGATAGGGGATTATTGTTTAATGGGGGTAGAGTTTCAGTTCCGCAAGATGAAAAGAGGAATGAATGGCTGGTGATGGTTGTATAACAGTGTGAATGTCCTTAATGTCACTGAACCAGACACTTAAAAATGGTTATGATGGTAAATTTATGGTATGTGTATTTTACCACGATTAAAACAAATCCAGCATTGGTATAAAGATAAATATAATCCAGGCTGAAGTTATAATTTTAATAATTTAAATATATATAATATTTTATATAATCATATCATATGACATACTATATTGTACATAGTGTAAATATATTATATATTATATACTTATTTTTATATAGTTATATGTTTCTTCTGACTTTAAAAGAAAAAAAGAAAACATTTTCGTGGGCCCCTCCAGTGTCTGCTGTGGCCAATGCAGAAGTCGGCCCTGGGAAATTGGCAGCAGGGAGGGAATGCATTTCAAACATGGTGTGCATCAGGCTCATTAGAAATGCAAATTCCTAGACCTTGTCCCCTGAGATTCAGATTCTGTAGGTCTGGAGTGCGGCCCAGGAATCTGTATCATTGAAGGGCACTGTAGGTGTTCTCATGCAAATGACACCTGGATCATTCTTTGGGGGCAGTGCAGTATCCCCATGTGGGGACATCCGCACACCTTTAAAAGTCCAGACTTAACCCCTCACTTGCTGGGTGGCATTTTAAGTCTTGCCACTGCTCTATTTCTTCATCTCTAACATGGGGATGATGACATTCACCTTTTAGTGTCACTGAGAGGCTCCCTGGGTGCCCGCAGCTCGACTTAGGGGAAGCAGCCAAAATCTCATCTCTGAGGCAACTGAGGGGATTGTGCAAATGCCGTTGGGGAATATTGGGTGAGCCGAGGTGACAAACCGGGTCTGTGTCAGCTAGGATGAGGGTGGCAGGTGGCAACCCAGAGGGTAAGGCATTGCATGCAAGGTTTGCATCCCCATGCAAGGTTTGCATCCCCATGTAAGGTTTCTGGGGAAGATGGATGGACAAAGATGCAGACAAAGGGGACAGTCCCCAGGCCCAGGAAGGACCTGGAAGGGGCTCAAAAGTCAGAAGGGTGGCGATGACTCTGTACCCCAGGAGGATGGATGCACTGTGCCAATGGGCTCCCTTTCTCTTTTGTTTTGACCATTAGAGAACAGTGGCCAAGAGAGGAAGAGGGGATAGGGGCATTTATTCCCCCGGCATCCACATGGCATTTCCTTCCTTCTTGCACTTAGGAACACCAGACAGTACTTTTCTCCTTCTGACCACCTTGCCCCTTCATACTTACGAGTGGCAAATGTGGCTCCTCACAATAAGTAACACCTTGGGTACTGTGTTATCCCTTGAGGTTTCCCTACATCCTGCCTACACCTCTGCAAATACAGTCCATTCTCATTATTCATGGAGGTTACGTTCTATAAAGTTGCCCAAATACTGAACCATCACTCCCAGAAGAAACACAAAAAGTAGATTCTTGTGAGCCTCTGGGCCCATATTTATCAACTGATCAACACATAACCTTGTCTTAGGTGTGTTTCTGCTTAAAGATGACTTATTTAATTAGATATTGTTCAATAAAAACATTATACGTTAATGTGAATCATTGATATTGAACTCAAGGGCAACAGCGCTATAACTTATGCCTGAAGCGAACCTGTGTAACACACGCATTTTCTCTGTAAGGCACGTGCCAGCCTTCTTGTACTTGGGAACACGAGTCAGCACTTTGGCATGATGATTAGGACTGTTTAAAACAGTGAAATCACGAGCGAAAAGCCCAAAAATACAAAAAAAGTGCCAAAAAGTAGACTCGGAAAGGACGCTTGTTTAGGGATGAGATCTGAAACAGGAAGGCAGAGCCTTGTCTTGCTGTAACTTCTGGGATTGTGTGGTCCGGAAGCAAAAGTCTTCTACTGCCCTGTGCATGCTCTCAAATGATTGGAGAAGTGCCACGGTATGGGGGGTTTCGAATAAACGTTAGTGAATTAAGTGAATTCACAAATACAGAATCTCTGAGTCATGGGGATCAGCTGTTGTTTCTTTGTTAAAATTCCTTCAAATTGTGTGGGCTGTCTGCTTCCTGTTGGCATCCTGATGGGTACAGGGAGGAAGTGCCTGAAGAACATTCCCAGGGAAATTAGAATCCCAGGGAAATTTGAACCCTAGGGAACCCTTGATGGTCCCCAGGCTGTGGAGTCCCTCTTGAGATAAGGGAGCTGGCTGTGATGCCCAAAGACTCTGAGTCAGATACTGCTGGTTTGAACCCCCAGCCCTCCTCCTCAGCTCTGTGACCCTGGGCACGCAGCTCTCCCTTTTTTCTGTGTATTTTCCTGTCAAACGAGCATAATTTGCTCCATCTACACTCGGTTGTTATGGTGAGCCCATCGATGCTTATAATTTGGAGTAAGAGAGAGTGAGCATGGGGTTTCCCTGGTGGTGCAGTGGTTGAGAGTCCGCCTGCCGATGCAGGGGACACGGGTTCGTGCCCCGGTCCGGGAGGATCCCACATGCCGTGGAGCGGCTGGGCCCGTGAGCCATGGCCGCTGAGCCTGCGCGTCCGGAGCCTGTGCTCCGCAACGGGAGAGGGCACGACAGTGAGAGGCCCGTGTACCGCAAAAAAAAAAAAAAAAAAAAAAGAGAGCGAGCATGGATTCAGACCCAGGTTTAAATCCTGCTTTGTCCCTTGCTGGCTCTATGACCCGGGGCAAATGATTTCACCTTCCTGAACTTCATTTCCTTCTCTGTAAAATGATGACTGGGCTCGGTTGTGACCATGTGACTTTGCCGAAAGGATAATATTCGTGAGGGTGATTTTTTTAGCATATGCATGGCCAGTCTCATGAGAGAGGAATCATGTGTGATTTGGTCCTTGCTGTATCCCCAGCACCTAACACGGTCTCTGGCATGAAGCAGTTGCTTGGGAAATCTTTGTGGTTTGAATGAACACCCCTTATTCTATGTACGCTACACCCCGGAATCTTTCTATGAGAGCAGACGATGGTCACAGCTCGGTATGAAGGGTTCTGTGATGGGAGGGCGTCCAAGAGAACAGAGAGGAGGAATTGAACGATGCCTGAACGGGTGGGTGCAGTCAGGTGGGCTTCCTGTAGGAGACCACACTAGAGCTGCATCCAACAGGAAGATATTGGCTGCACTTGATCAACTTGTGAGCTCCCTGAGAGCAGGGACCATGTAAGCCTTGCTCACTGCTGCACTCTCAGCGCCTGGTTCAGAACCTGGCGCTTTATAGGGGCTTAATAAAGGATGCTGTGGATTTTGAAGTATCCCCTCCCCCAGGTAAATGGAGAAAAGGGCAATGGGAAGCAGGGAGGGCTCAATTCCACCTCTGCACTGGCGTTGCTTGGGGTCTGGGAATATAAACAACCTCCACTAGAGAGAGCTCCAGGGGAAGCTTCATCCCTGTGTGTGTGTGTGTGTGTGTGTGTGTGTGTTTTGTCAATAAAGGCAGAATCCGAGGTCTGCTTAGAGAGCAGGCTGTAGAGTTAGGTATTAAAATTCCATCTCTTCTACTTACTAGCTGCATGGCCTTGGGCATCTGCTTAACCTCACTGTGCTTCACCTTCCTTAACTGTAAAATGGGAATAACAATTCACCTGCAGTTGAAGACATTTTATATGCAGCCACCATTCTATAGGTCTTAAATGTATGAACTCCTCTATCCTTATGACAAGGCTCCGAGGTGAATGCTGTAATTCTACATTTTACAGGTTGGAGACACTGAGGCCAGAGAGGAACAGTGACTTGCCTAAGGCCACACAATCTGAAATCGGGGAGCCAGGATTTGAGCCCTAGAAATATGGTGGCCAAATCCATTCTATTAACTTGCAGGATACACGACCTATAAAGTGTTATAGGGTAAGTGACCAGTAGGTGTCTAATAAGTGGTAATTATTAGGTTATTTTAAATTATAATTCTGCTAGAGGGAGCTCGGAGAGAGGATGGGTCAGGAGAGAGGGAGGGCCGCTGGGCTGTGGCCGACTGGGGCTACGGTGCGCCTGTCACTTGCGAGCGACGCTGGACTCTGCGCGTGGTGGCGTGCGTGGGTCCCAGTCGTTGACCAGGCGCTGTGCCTGCTCATAGCACACGTGGGGGTGCCGCTGGCGGAGGCGCAAGCGCACCACGTTGTAGTCCACGTCCTGCCCGATCTTCTTGCAGTTGAGGCTCCAGGTGACGTTCTTGCGCATGGAGAGCAGCTCTTTCAGGTTCTCTTCCACATGCGAGATGCGGCGCTGCAGTTTGTCAGTGCCCTGGAGACGGGGAGGGGCTGTGTTGAGAAACAGGCGAGCCCCCGCGAGGCGCTATCTGGGATGCCAGGGCACACCTGGGCCAGGTGTGCGTGTGAAAGGACAACAGCTGAAGAGGGGAGGGGCCTCAGATGGGGGGGGGAGCACATCTGAGTCAGGTGTGCGTGTGAAAAGGGCCTCGCCTGGGAAGGAGCACAGCTAGGAGGGGCGAGCCTCGAATGGGGTTGGGAGTTACACACCTGGGCCAGAATATACTTGGAAAAGAACCTGTGACAGGGCGGGTATGAAGGAGGGGATGCACCTGCAGTTGCGGGGAGGAGCGGACCTTGGATAGAGGTGGAGCAGAGGTTGAGGGAACTTATTTGAGACAGGTGTGGGTATTGAAGAGCATCCTTCTGGTCGAGGAGTTGAAGGACTCACAGACCTGAGTGAGGGGGTCTTACCTGGGCTAAGTGTGCTTGAGAAACGAGTCTTACCAGGGCAGGGCTGCGCCTGGAGAGGGAGGGCAGGCGCGGAAGGGGGATGGACAGGGGCTTACCTGGGCGAGGCGCGTGGCCTCCGGGAGTTGGGTGCCCACGTGTCTCTGATACATGCGAACCAGAGGTCTGTCCAGTTTCTCTCGAGTCTCCAGGTGACTTTTTGACAGAGGACCCTGGCGGAGTGTGGTGTGTAGAGGCGTGAGGCCCAGCCTACCCAACGCCCCTGGCCGCATCCCCGCAGACCCTTTTCCCAAACCATACCTTGACGAGGCCGCGGGTGACGCACATCTCCTGGTTGAATTTCGTGCACCGGTGGATAGTTGCCCTCATTAGTCCTAAGGTCATGTTCAGTCTATCCTGGGTGGGTGGGAGCACAGGGAGAATCACATCGGCCTCCTGTCCCCTCTCCTCCTGCGTCCCCCTTCTCCCTCCTCAGTGCTATAGCATCCTAGCCTCCAGCCGCCAACTCAGAGCGGCGCCGGCGGGGCCCACCTTCAGCTCCAAGGTCTCGCGCATTTTCTGCGTTAGCGAGGCGAACACGTGGTCGCTTATCTGCTGTTGCTGCTCTCGGATGTCCTCCTCGTTCTTTGCCATATCTAGCAAAGTGTCCTTGGACTCCATTAACAGTCGCTTGGCTTCGTACAGCGCCATGGCGCACTCTGACGGAGTGGGGAGGAGGGATGCGTGTGGGGTGTCAGGGTCTCCTTTTCCCAACCCTGGCTTTCTGCGTCCCCCTCTCTATTCTCAGGTGGTGGTGGGCCCTGGGCAAGGGGGCTTTACTGATGGACTGGGAGAAAGTCCAGGGGAGGGGCCCATAGCAGGGTTAGTATGAGTAGCATCAGGGAGTGACTGAACGAGTCGGAGTGTGGGAAGCAGTAGTGCGCAGGGGAAAGAGCTAATCAAGAACGTGCGCTCTGCTGGAGACTGGCACCCCTCTCTCTTGGTCGAGGGGGGAAGTTACCCGGGGAAGGTGGCAGCCGAGAAGTGGGAGAGAGGTGAGTACCAAGGAAACCCACTATAGTGGACTCCTTTCTGTGGAGTTTTACCTGGGGTATAGGTGCCCACAGGATCTGGAGGCGGGGTTTTCAGGCCCTGAGTGCGCGGGGTGGGAACTCGGGAGAGGTTCACCCAAGAGTGGCGGCCGGCCTGCTCCAGAATCTTGTCCAGCGGCTGGTTCATTAGCTCCACAGCTTGGAGCCTCTCCTTACAGCAGAAGACCAGAGTGTCGCGGCAGGAGGCCAGGGTCTGGGAGTGAGGAAGGAGAGAGAGGCAGAGGTCAATTGTAAGCTGGGAGATTGGGGGAAGTGACTCGTGATCTCTCAGCTAGTGGCTGCAAAGTGTTTTGCCTCCAAACTGACTTTCTCCAGTTCTTGTTGCAGCCGGAGAGGAGCAACCCATTTTCAAGCAGAAGCTCAGACGTACAATACTCTCAGCCTCTATCCGGAAGCCTCCAGTGGTCCCCGGGTGGGGAGTAAGGAACAGTAGGGGCCGCTGGCAGCTTTCCTGTTCCCAGTATTAGTTGCTTGGGTTCTGTGCCTGGCTCTGCTCTGGGAACCCGAGAAAGCCCCTCCCCCGTCAATGTCCCCACCTGTGAAGTGGAGAGGTATTTAGCTGTACCTACACTTTGGTCTTCTTGTGCCATCCCTTCTCCTCAACTGCGTTCAGGGCTTATCCCACCCCCATCCCTAGTCTCCAGGTCTCCCTTCCTCTTTTCTACTCAGTATGAAGCACCCTCAGCTGTCTTCAGAGTTCCTCTTCCCAGGCTCTACTGCATCTGGACCCCCATCCCTACCCAAATCCTACTGCCACTATTATAAAATATATTGCATTCCTTAGATATCTGTGATTATTTGAAAGTCATATTAAAACAGAAGACTTCATATATATATCCATATAAACACCACATTCATCAAAATATAGAATATTCCTATCACCTCAGAAATTTCCTTGATGCCCTCTACCTCTTTCCCACTAAGCTGCCTAGCAGATTAGCGAAGGGCTCAGTAAACTACAGACTTTGGACTGGCCATCCGGTTTTGTAAATAAAACTTCATTGGAACATGGCCGTGCTCATTCATGTACATATTGTTTCTGGCTGTTTCTGTGCTCCACTGGCCAAATGAAGTACAGATCTTTCTCGAGTTACGACAGGGTTACATCCCAGTAAACCCACTGTAAGTTGAAAATAGTATGTTGAAATGCATTTAATACACTTAACTTACCAAACATCATAGCTTAGCCTAGCCGACCGTAAACGTACTCAGAACACTTACGTTAGTCTACAGTTGGGCAAAATCATCTAACACAAGGCCTATTTTATAACAAAGTGTTGAATATTTCATGTTATTTATTGAATACTGTACTGAAAGTGAAAAAGGAATGGTTGTATGGGCACAGAATGGCTATAAGTGTGTCCACCGAATAGTTCATGTAATTTATCGAATAATGTACTGAAAGTGAAAAACAGAATGGTTGTCTGGGTACAGAATGGCTATAAGGGTGTCAGTTATTTACCCAGGGGTTGACTGGGAGCTGTGGCTCACTGCTGCTGCCCGGCATCATGAGAGAGGATTGTACTGCATGTTGCTAGCCGGGGAAAAGATAAAAATTCAAAATTTGAATTACAGTTTCTACTGAATGTGTATCACTTTTGCACCACCATAAGTTGAATCATTGTAAGTTGAGGACCATCTGTAACTGTGACAGAGACTGTATTGCACACAAAGCTTAAACAATTTACTACCTGACTCTTTAAGAAAAAGCTTTTGAAATTTAGAACTTCATATAAATGGAATCATACAGTGCGTATTTTTTTTTTTTTTTTTTTGCGGTACACGGGCCTCTCACTGTTGTGGCCCCTCCCTTTGCGGAGCCCAGGCTCCGGACGCGCAGGCTCAGCGGCCATGGCTCACGGGCCCAGCCGCTCCGCGGCATGTGGGATCCTCCCGGACCGGGGCACGAACCCGTGCGCCCTGCATCGGCAGGCAGACTCCCAACCACTGCGCCACCAGGGAAGCCCTACAGTGTGTACTTTTAATGTCCAGCTTCTTTTGCTGAATATCATGTCATTGAGATTCATCCATTTAGGTAAAAAAATGGATTTTAAAAGTCTTTCATTCATTAATGAATTCAAATATTCATTAAGCCCTTCCTGTATGCTGGGCAGTGTGCCAGGTGGCAGGGATACAGTGGGGAAAAATGATCCGGTTCCTGACCAAAGGAAGTGAGAGGGTCAGCATGTGCAGATAAGATTGGATAGTGAGTGAATCAGAGAAATGGGGATTATCTGAAAGGGTGCATGGGATCAAAAGAGGTTTTTTTTTATTGTGGTAAAATAGACATAGAAATTTGCCAAGGAAAGCATTTTAAGTGTACAGTTCAGTGGCATTAAGTATACTCACAATGGGCAACCATCACCACTGTCCATTTTCAGAACTTTTCACCATCCCAGATAGATCTGTATCCATTAAAGGATAACCCCCATTTGTTCACTGGTGAGAATGATCCAATAAAGAAAGAAATATTGATGATGCGGGAGAAGGGGAGACGGTAGGTGTGGCAGGTAGATAGAATTATAGGACTGGCACAGGAAAAATGAGAGAAGTTTTCTTCAGTGGTTTCCATGCATTGGGGTCATTCACTGAGAGTGAAGAAAGAGCAGGGAGTTGGAGAGATCTGAAGGAAGAGAAGGTATGAAATAACTTGCACAGTGGGACAGCAAGCCTTCTAGAGACACATGGTGAGATCTCTGGGAAAGCTCTGAGTGTCAGTTTGAGATCTGAGTTCATGATTTTAAGTTGAAACACGTCTATTTGGTGTGAGCATTTTTCTCCTGGGTTTGTATCTGTCTGTCTTTTCCCAACTCCCAATTTCCCTTTCTCTCTTGCAAGCCCTTCCCTAAGGGGGCCACAGGGTCTTCTCCCTTGTCTATTTCAGACTTCCCTGAAGGATTTTTCAGGATCGCCAGCTGTAAAGGAACATGACAGCGGCCTGGAGGTGCCGTAGGTTGAGTGCAATTAAGGTTCAGCACCACGGACAGTAGGTGCACCAGCTCCTAAATCCTTTCCCCCAACTCCACTCTCCCAACCCTGGCCGCTCCCTTCTTTGAATGCCCCTATAATATGAACTCCTTGAGGGCAAGGCCAGTTCTGTACTGTTCACAACTTTGTCCCCAGTGCCAAGCACGGTGGTTGGGCCACCAGGGTACTGGATTAATATCTGTCAAATGGAAGAGTCAAAAGTACACACAGGCTCCATGAAACATAAGTACTCTCCCATCTCCATTAGTGATCTCATAAGGAAATCCTTGTTGCAAGAGTGAAGGATTCAGTGAGAGACCATCTCTGGCTGGAGCTGACAGAGACAAGCACATAGTACAGTGTAAAGAGCTCAAGACGTCTGAGTTAAATCATGAGGAAGTTCTCCCGCTTCTGGGTACATATCCAAAGGAAATCAGGACCTCGAAGAGAAACAGCTCCCATGTACATTTCAGCATGATTTACAACAGTCAAGACATAGAAACAATCTAAATGTCTGTTGACAGATGAATGGATAAAGAAAATGTGATATAATATAATATAATATATAATACAGTAATATAATAATAGCAGTAATTTCCAGTAATAACAATATTACTATATTATATTAATAGTATTACTATACTAATAATATATAGCAGTAATAACAATATATTAATAATCAATAAATTATGTAGATATCAATATGGTATAGTATATAATAATATATAATGAAATATTATTCAGTCTTAAGAAAGAAGGAAATCTTGCCATTTGTGACATCATGGATGAGCCTGGAGGATATTATGCTACGTGAAATAAGCCAGACGCAGAAAGGTCTCGCTTATATGTGGAATCTAAAATAGTCACATTCAGAGAGGGAGAAAGTAGAATGGTGGTTGGCAGGGGCTGAGGGGAGAGAGAAATGGGGAGATGTTGGTTCAGTTGTACAGAGTTTCAGTGATGCAAGGTGATTAAGCTCTGGGGATCTAATGTAACTATAGTTAGCAATACTGTCTTTTATAATCGAAATTTGCTAAGTGCTCTCACCACACACACGAGGTGCTTATGGTGATTATTTCACAGTGTACGCATATATCAAATCCTCAATGTGTACGCTTAAATATATACACAATTTAAATTTGTTAATTGTATCTTGCTGAAGCCGGAAAAAAAAAAAAAGACACCTGAGCTGAAACCACAGCCCTACCACAGGCTAGCTCCATGCCTTGGGTGAGACCATGTCTTTCTGAGCCTCAGTTTCCCCCATCTCTAAAGAGGGGATCATAGTTCTATTTCACAGGAGGATTTTAAAGACTTAGTGACTGCACAGGGCTTGGCACAGAAGGGGATGTTCATTGCTATTTTGAGGCCCAACTCCATCTCTCAGAGCTCCAGTCTTTCCCTTTCATAAAGTGGAAATACAGTGAATGCCAGGTCAGGGTGGGGCGGGTGTGTGGGTTGAGGGATTTGCTGTTGCTACAGTCCCCAAGGTTAGAGCAGTTTGCCCATTAGGTGGCCAAGGGTCCCCCTCCAGCTCCCTTAAAGTGGCCCCAGGTATTCCCAACCTTGAGCAGGGCCTCTGATTTTTCCATATCTTTCTCCATCTTCCTCTTCATGCTCTTTAGTTCCTCTTTCTCCCAGGTAAGCATACTGTCAGCTTTGTCAGGGATCTGGAAAACAAGGAGAGAATCTTTCACACCTTTGGGAGAGGGCTGGAGGGAGAGTTCTCCTTCCAGAGTAGTAGAGGGTTTGCCAACCTCATAAACTCTGGCTTTGGGGAATGGAGTTGGGGGCACTCTCGCCTTTTGGGGATCTCACTCTCTGAGAAGGCTTTACCTTTTGGGGGGCTCTCACTTGGGGTAGGTCTTACCCTCTAGAGAGCGGGGCTGGGGGCTTCTCCCTTTTTATAGGTAGGAGCCCAGTGAGCTGGGATGGAAGTGACTTAACCTGGGGAAAGGTTATCACCACTTTCTGGGGCTGAGGGTCCTCCTTCCTTGGTGATGGTCTTATCTTCTCTCCCTGGCTAGAAGTGGAGGAGTCTCATCATAGGGATGATGAGGGTTTGCCTTCTTGAGGTCTTACTATCTGGATCTGGGGGCTGGGACTAGGAATCCCACCCTGTGGGTGGGGTCTCATCTCTCCCCAGGGAGGCTGGAATATTCTCCCCTTTTGGGGTGGGGGTATGGGGTTTCACTTTAGGGGGAGGATTTCACCAGGGCTGGGACTAGGGGTCTTACCCTTTTCCCCTGGCTAGGGGCTTAAGTCTCAGGTGCAGGGGCTGGGAGTCCAAGGGTCTCAATCTTTATGCAAAATCTGCTCCTTTCTGCCTGGGTGAGGCCCCGGGAGGGGTTCTCACTCGCTGAGGCTGGTGGGGGACTTTGGTTAGGGTTTTAAAAATAAGCATTTTGAGGAGAGTTTCATCTGGGTTGGGACCAGGACATCACCCACTCTGCTCATCTGGGGGGCTTCGTGTGTGTTTTCGGTGGGATTGGGGCACTGAGGGTCTCATGTCTGTGGGAGGGTCTCACGCCTGTGGGAGGGTCTCACCCTCTGCGCCTAGGGACTGGGTGAGTGATTTCATGTCTGGGCTGGGGGTTGTAGATTTTACTCTTTGGGAAGGATTTCATCTAGTCTGACTCAAGGGTCCCACCTCTCCCTGGCTGGGAGACTGGGATAGATTCCCCCTCTGGGGCAAGGGGCCTGAGAATCTCATCTCTTTGGGAGGATCTCCGCCTCTGGCGCTGGAAACAAAGGCACCTCATCTTGGGGGAATTTTCTTGTGCTCTCACTCAGTGGAGCTGGGATGGGTTGGAGAGTTCTCTCTATAGGGTGGGTTTTGCCCAGGCTGAGCCTCTGGGAGCGGAGGCCTCAGTCTTTGCGACTGGGCTGGGGGGAATGGTGGTCCCACCTTCTCAGACTTGGGCCGGTAGCCCCGCAGCTTGACGCTCTGCTGGTTAATAAGCAGGGCCTTGCGCACTTCGCTGAGCCTGTGGTCGGTAGCCTCCCGCTGGCGCTGCAGCAACCGCAGCTGCCCATTGATCTGGTGCTGGGCGCGGCTGAGGCGGGCGGCAGTGAGGCGCGCCCCACGAGCGTGCGCGTGCACCACCTCGGCCGTCTGCAGGGCCCGCGCGTCGCGGTGCATGGGCAGCGGCAGGCGCGCATGCCAGGCAGGCGGCTTCATCTTGCCCTTCCACAACGTAACGCCCTCACCCGGCGGTGGCTTCTCCATGGTGCTGCCACCTTTGAGCATCTCCACGCGGAAGCGCCAGGGCAGGATGTAGGCGGCCCGGCAGAGGTGGCGCGCCATGTGTGGGTCCCGCACGCTGTCCTTGGGTTGCCACATGGTCACCGCCTCTTGCCCACAGCGGTCGGTCAGCTGGTGCGCCTTCTGTGTCAAGGCCTTGGTCGCCTCGCGCCATGCTGGAGGCCCAACACGCGTGTCCTGGCTGTGCTCAACCGGGGGTATCAACACGGGCATGGTCCCTGATTGGTGTCCTCGCCTGGCCCGAGGTCCTCTCCAGGAGAGGCAGGGACCCCCAACGACACGCAACTCCTTCCTGGCCTGAAGAGTGAGTGAAGCAGAGCACCCATCACTATGACGACCGTGGCAACAGCGCAGGCAGAGTTCCAAAAGTGGGGGAGGGGAAAGGCTACAGGGAAGGGTTGGATGGACTCTGCTTTGGAGCCAGGCAGAGGTGGCTTGGAATCCTGGCTCTTTGAGAAAACCGACCTCATCTAGCCAGCCCCTCACTGTTGCTCCTTACCCTCCAGGAACACGGGCCTTCTTCCAGCTCTGAGGACATGCTTTCCCACTTCAAAGCTTTAGATTTCCTGTTCCTTCTGTGTAGTATACTCCTTTTCACCTCCTTCCCATGGCTGGCTCTTTTCCAGTCTTCAGGACCCAGCTTAAATATTACCATCTTTTGCGGAGCACAGGCTCCGGACGCGCAGGCTCAGCGGCCACGGCTCACGGGCGCAGCTGCTCCGCGGCATGTGGGATCTTCCCAGACCGGGGCGCGAACCCGTGTCCCCTTCATCGGCAGGCGGACTCTCAACCACTGCGCCACCAGGGAAGCCCCAAATATTACCATCTTAAAGGAGTCTTTCCTTAGTGCAATATCTAAGCTCTACTCTCTCCCATCACTCAGGATTCTTAGTGCAAGCCACAGCAAAGGAAAAGATGGTTTCCCGATCAGAATCACAGCCAAAAAATACAAAGACACGTGGTGGCTCTTGAGGACACCATGGCAACCACTGCAGAAATCTCAGCTGCTGGTTGGCTGTCCCTGGGAATGGCACTGTTACTGCGACCAGCAACTGAGTCAGTTCTCTATAGTACCTGCTTTTTGCCTCCTTAGTTCCCAGGGTCCAAGGTGGCTGCATCTAATTGCCTGAGCCTGTGTCACATGATCATGCCTGAGCTACAAGGGAAGCTAGGAAAGTGACTCGTGTCTGAACTTCCTGTTTCTATGGCGGAAGGAGGACTTTGTTTTCCACCCACCAAGACTTACATGATGTATAATTCCTCCAACATAGGAAGCCTCTCAGAGTCTGGGGAAGAAAAAGAGACAGTTGCCCTCAATCTCTCCCCCATAATTCTCCATCACATCACCTCGTTTGTTTCCTTCTAGCAGTGGCATCTTTATCTGGGCCATTCAAAGGCATCTCAAAGTCGACAGGTCCAAAACCACACCTTTGATTAATCTCCCTGATCTTTTTCCTCTGCTAGTGTTCTTTGACTTGATAGCCCACCATCCACCCCAGCTGCTCATGTTAAAATCTTAGGAAGATTCCTTAATTTTTTTGTGTCCACATCCAATCCATCAGCAGGTTTTGCCTGTCCTAGCTTCAAAACTTATCTCCGATATGATCTTTTTTTTTCTCCGTTGCTACCAGCGGCATTCTCATTCTCATTCACACCATCATTTCTCACTCACCTGGTCTCCCTGTCTACCCCCTCCTCCCTTGCCTCCCCAAATTCATTCTCCACACTACAGTCAGCCCTATGTTTTAAACTAGAGCACATCACTTTCTCGCTTAAAAACCCTTCAAGTGATTCTCATAATACTTAGAATAAAATCTGAGATCTTTACTCAAAAGTGTCACTTCCCCGAACTAACTCATCTTCTATCTTCCACCCCCAGGTCCACTCCACACTGTGCTCCAGTCTCTCTGGCCATTTTTGTGTTCCTCTAACATGTCATGCCAGTTCCTACCTCAGGGCCTTTGTACTTGCAGGTACCCTTTTGGCTGAATCTCTTTCTCTCAAGATTTTTGCCTGGCTGGCTTCTTGGTGTCCTTCAGGAAGGTCTCACCTCTAAGCCAGGTCTTCCTTGACTACTCAAAAGCAGCTCCCTTCGTCTTACAGTCTCTTTGCATAGCGTCTTCATAACACTCACTATTACCTGAAAATGTCTTATCCATTTATTTGCTTACTGAAAAATTTTTTTGTCTCCCCCACCTACCCTGGAAGAATCCAAGAGTCTCGAGAGCAGGAACCTTCGTCTCAAGTGCCCAGCACAGCTCAGGGCACATAACAGGTCCTCAGTACACTTGGGATGAAGGAATGGATGGCCTCAATCACATGCTGTGATAATTTTACTTGCTTCTTTTTTTTGAGATGAAAGTTTCATAAATAAAATTAACCATTTTGGGCTTCCCTGGGGGGGCAGTGGTTGAAAGTCCGCCTGCCGATGCAGGGGACGCGGGTTCGTGCCCTGGTCCGGGAAGATCCCACATGCCGCGGAGTGGCTGGGCCCGTGAGCCATGGCCGCTGAGCCTGCGCACAGCGGGAGAGGCGACAACAGTGAGAGGCCCGTGCACCGCAAAAAAAAAAAAAAAAAAAAAACAATCCATTTTAAAGTGCACAATTCAGAGACATTTAGTACATTCACGATGTTGTGAAACCAACACTCCTACCAGGTTCTAAAACATTTTTATCATCCCCAAATAAAGTCTTGTTCCCATTCCCCTCTCCCCTCAGCCCCTGGCAACCACTATCTACTTTCCTATCTCTATGGATTTGCCGGTTTCGGATATTTCATTTAAACTAATCATACACTGTGTGACATTTTGTGTCTGGGGCCTCTTTCACTTAGTGTGATGTTTCTGAGGTTTGTCCAAGCTGTAGCATGTATCAGTACTTCATTCTTTTTTATGGCTGTATTCCATTATATTTATATATTGCAACTTTGTTTACTCATTGATTCATTGATGGACATTTTATGTATGTTTTACTTGTCTCCTTTGTCTACCTTCCCCATCAGACTGTGAGATTCATGAAGGCAGTGACCTTGCCTATTTTGTATATCACTGAAACCCAGCACCCAGCACAGATGGTGGCTCATAGTAAGTACTCAATAAACATTTATTTAATGAATACACGAGTGAAGGAATGAATAAGTGTTTTCTTATTGAGTGAGAAACGCAAGGAAGAGAAAGGAATGAATGACCCTGGTTTTGCAAAATCAAAGGATCATTTAGTGATGGGGAGGAATAAGACGAAAAACTGAAGGCTCCCAGGTCAGCCATGCTGGACACCCACCAGGAAGAAATGGGGGTAGGTAACCTTTGGTGATGGAGGCTTGTTTCAAGGATTCTCAGGAATGCGGGTTTAGTACACACATTAGCCCCTGGGCCCAATGGTATCTGACTCAACAGATCTTCACTAGAGTCAGGATAGTACCATGGTCAAGATTCTGGAGTCAGATGACTTGGGTTCAAATTATGATTCTGACGCTTGCCATCTGTGTGACCTTGGGCAAGCCACCTGACTTCTCTGTGCTTCCGTTTCCTCATCTGTCAACTAGGATAATAGGATTGTGGCATGAATTAAATGAGTTAATATGAATGATGTGCTTAGCATGGTAACTGACACAGAGTAATCATTATGAAAGTGCTTACATTTCATTTTTATTAATTGAATAAATAGATGAATGAGCTATTTTAATACCAGGCCATGCAGAGAGGGTTTCACAAAGAACCAGGGAGATAGCTCATTTGGGACAATATTCTGGACTCAACCATCCACCTTTGCTCTGTTCATTTAATGCTTCCATTTTCCTAACTGGAGGATTTCACTGGATTGGGTTGCTGCCTGGTGTATGGAGCACATCTATTGGGCAGTGTTTGTACTGAGCTACCCGAGGGACACCTGTGTCAGACCTACATATGGAGGATTTGGGCTCCAACTTGGGTCTTTGGTGAAATTAATTAAGGGCGATGGGTGAGGGTGTGGTCTGTCCCATTCTGGCTTTTAATTGGTTCTCCTCTTTCTTGCCAATATACTCCTAGTGTGTATTACATCGTCTGAGTATTGAAATTGGTGCGTACTACTGCCCATTGCTCAGTCTGCCAACTTCTCCTCATTTTCATCTTCCAACACAAGTTTGACTATATCAACTTCTAAAACTCACCTCCAGTTCCTGGCTTTGGTGGCCCGTTTTGGACACTTTTTTTTCCCCTATCCTGACACACATGCCCGTATTTAGGAATAGGTGAACCATCTTCTGCACAGCTTTCAAAGTCTGCTGGTCAGAGCCTGGGTTGTCAGGTGCTAGAGACTGAAAGTTTGTGTCCTTCCAAAACTCATATGTTAAATCCTAATGCCCAATGTGATGGTATTTGGAGGTGGGGCTTTGGGGAGAGGATTAGATCATGAAGGTGGTGCCCCCATGAATGGGATTAGTGCCCTTTTAAAGGAGACCCCAGAGGGCTTCCTCACCCCTTCCACCATGTGAGGACATAGCGAGAAGAAGCTGTCTATGTGCCAGGAAGCTCTCACCAGACACAAAATCTGCCAGTGCCTTGACCTTGAACTTCCCATTTTCCATAACTGTGAGAAATAAAGGTCTGTTGTTTATAAGCCACCAGTCTGTTATAGTGTTATAGCAACATGAACTCAATAAGACAGCAGGTGCCTGGAAGGAACCAGAGCAGGGATGGGGTTGGCTCTCACTCTCCAAGAGATTGAACTATGTGTGGCTGAACAGAAATAATGAAGTTTAAAAAATGCTACAGAAACACTTACATACATGAGTTGAGGGCTGGGAAAATGTTTCACTACTCTCCAAGCCCAAATACCTTCTCAAGCTAACAGATAAATCTATTTTCATGAAATGAAAATAATGTATGCACATTGTGTAAAACACAGAAAATATGATGAGGAGAATAAGAGTCATCTGTAATTTTACCATCCAGAGATAACTATTCTGAACATGTTTTGATTTCACTCTAGCCATTTCCCTATCTCCCCCCCTCCATATATATAGTTACAGGTATATACATCTCCCTCCTCCCAACATACTAAAGCTCAAATATTTCTAACTCAGGCCAGTGGGGAATAATATTTGTAAAATTAGCTCTCTGATTTTTATAACGAAGAACACTTTACAGAACTTCCTTTTTGTAGCCATCTTTGGTGGGACCACCTGTTCTATATAATGAGCCCTGCAAAGTGGGGAGCAGAATTCTGCCCTTGCGCTGAATAGAGTGAAAATGCAGAATGTATGAAGGAGGACCTTTTAAAACTTCTGGCTTTTCTTTCCTTTTTCTTTTAATGTTACATGGAGATGCCCTTCACTCTGAAATCTTGGCAGGTAATTATCAGAAACCCTTTTTTAGGTTCCCCGATGTCTTCCCTTCTGGGGCACCAGGTTCTACTTTTAGTAGGTGCCCCCTTTCTCTTGGAGATAATCACATCAATTGGTCTCTTGTTCCAGGGGGATATGACCTAGAATCAGTTTTGTCTTTGAGAAATGAGGTCGCTTTCCTGGGGGAGGTGTCAGGAGACTGTGGGAAGCCCCAGGCTGGGAGAGGAGGTTCTTCCTGGTTTTTCCTGGTCACCTCCTGCAGAGGTGGTGACCGCGCTGGTCAGTGAGGGATAAAGACTGGTCCGTATGTCTCTAGCCCCCATCAGTCCTCTGAAATGGTCTAGGCAAAGGTTATCAATGTCCTCCTGCAACTGACCAATGCCTAGTTTCTTTTCCATCCCATTCAACTTGACCTCTAGGCAGTATTTGAAATTATCAACCACCTGTAACTTGAATATCCTCCCCTATACTCTTTCACACTCTTCCCTTTTGCCTTTAGCCTTGGTCCTTCACTGGCTGATTGTCTGCCATCCACCCTCAAATACTGAGTGTTCTTTAGGTGAGTTAAGCAGTCTTGCAGATGGCTCCTAGTGGTCCCCACCACTGATCTTCATGTCCTGTGTAATCCCCTCTTTTTGAGTGTGGGCTGAACCTAGTGACTCACTTCTAACCAATAGAATATAATGAAAGTGATAGGATGCCCTTTCTGAGATTAGGTTATAAAGAGATCATGGCTTCTGTCTTGCTCACTCTTTCAGAAAAGGAGAGGCCACATGGCAAGGAACTGAGGGAACTTCTGGTTATCAGCCACTGAGGACCTAAGACTCTCAGTCCAATATTCCTGAAGAACTGAATTTTGCCAACGACCCCATGAGTAAGCTTGGAAGCATATCCTACCCCCGTCTAGCCTTGAGACTAGATAGATGCCCTGGCTGACATCTTGTCTGCAGCCTGCTGAGAGACCCTGAGCCAGAAGACCCAGCTAAACTTTGCCCAGATTCCTGACCCACAGAGACCCATGTAATAAATGTGTTGTTTTAAGTTTTATGCTGCTAAGTTTTGGGATAATTTGTTATGCAGCAATAGCTAGCTAATACATTAGATTTCCATTCTCCCTTCACTTCTCATCCATCGCCTTCTCCCTGGAAAATCTCATCCACATTAGTGGATTTGGGTATCACTTATTTGGTTAGGATGACTGTGACTTTAAGACCAATGGGTAGGTTTAGTGAGATGAGCCTCAAGTTTAGAATAGCATCCAAATACCTTACCATGATCTACAGAATTCCAGTTCTTTACCATCTGGTCTACCTTTTCTTCCCCCTATCCCATCACTTTGTCCTTGGATCATGAAGCCATGCTGGTGCTCAGACTCCTCAAACTTATTTAATCCCATGGTCTTTGTACTTGCTTTCCCCCTCTATGGAATATTCTTCCCTCTCGAATGTTTTTCACCTGCATTTTTATATGGTTTACTTCCTCTCATCTTTTAGGTCTCTGTCGACGTATTATCTCCTAAAGGGCCTTTCCTTGACCATCTGAAGTATCACACTGCCATGTTGTACTGCATCTCTCCTACATCAGTTTGTGATTCTCTCAATTCCATCTCTAAATATCAGCTCCTTGATGGGGACCTCACCTGTCCTAGTCATCACTGAATCCCTGGTGCCTAGCCCAGTTTCTGGCACAAAGCAGGTTCTTAATACTTATTTGTTGAATGACTGAATGATGGTGGCCCTACCATGATTGGACTTAATTCATGTGTGGACCGACCAAAGACTTTCTGCTGCTTCTGCCGTGGGCATTCCTGTTCTGGTTGCTCAACCTCCAAGCGTCCTTCTTATGAGGGATCCCAAATTAGGTGGGAGGCAGGACAGATGAAGGGCCTTGCCCACTTTCGTGGGTTGAAGTGTGTCTTCCCCAAAAGATATGTTGAAGTTCAGACTCCTTGTACCTATGAATATGACCTTATTTGGAAATAGGGTCTTTGAAGATGTAATTAGTTAACATGAGTTTATACTGGAGTAGGGTGAGCTTTTAATCTAATGACTAGTGTCCTTGTAAGAAGACTATGTGAAGAGACAGAAACACAGACATGGAAGATGGCCATGTGAGCAAAGAGGCATGGACTTGAGTGATGCCTACAAGTCGAGGAATGCCAAGGATTGCTGGCAACCACTAGAAGCTGGAAGAGGCAAAGAAGGATCCTCCCCTAGAGCCTTTGGAGGGAGCATGACCCTGCCAACCCAGGGTCAAACCAGTTTGGTTTCAGAATTCTGGGCTCCAGGACTGTGAGAGAATAAATTCCTATTCCTTTAAGCCACCCAGTTTGTGGTAATTTGTTATGGTAGCCCTAGGAAACTAGTACAATGGTGTCTGTCTCTTTGAGTCTGGGGTCCCCTGACTACTTCTGGCCTGTCTCTACATAACACTTCCTATCACCTGTGCACACTGGAAGCACCCCTTCAATGCTCAAAATGCAGAATCAGAGAGAATCAGTCATTTCTTCTCCTGGCTGTCTGAGCTCATCTTCTAATTTCTAGGTTTCCCACCTTCACCTTAAACCTTCCTCTCATCTCCTGCTGGGGACTCCTTTAAACCAAACTCACCAGATCCCCTGAGGCATGGAGCTCACTGATATGGTCCACAAAGATCTGCCTCCTTGGGTTCAGAGCAGGTTGGAGGTAGATGGAGAGAGGATGTGAGGGTCCACCAGAAAAATCTGTCTTTCCTAATGGATTGATTGATTGATTGAGTTATTTGACAAATATTTACTGAGCACCTGCTCTGTGTCAGGCACTGGGCTAAGAACCAGGAGAACAGAGTGACAAGACAAAGCCCCTTCTCTCATGGACCTTCCCATCCAGTGGGGGAGGCAGAAAATGAAAAGCTAAAATAAACCACCAAGGTCATGTCAGATAGAGGTAATTGCTTAAGTTGCAGTGACAAATCATAATAATGACAGACAGAACAACAAACTGCCAAAATGACATGATTCTTATTTTTTTTATTGTGGTAAAACACACACAGCATAACGTTACCGTCTTCACCATTTTTAGTGTACAGTTCAGTGGCCTAAGTACATTCACATTGTCATGCAACTATCATAACCATCCATCTGCAGAACTTGTTCATCTTCCCAAACTGGAACTCTGTCCCCATTAAGCACTAACTCCCTATTCCCCCTCCCCGGAGCCCCCGGCACCCACCATGCTATTCTCTGTCTTTATGAATCTGACTGCTCTAGGGACTTCATATAAGTGGAATCATAAAGTATTTGTCCTTTTGTCTCTGGCTTATTTCACCTAGCATAATGTCCTCAAGGCTCATCCACATTGTAACATATAGGCATGATTCTAATTTTGAACTGGGAAACATATCCCCACTTGGAAAGTAACCCACCAACATTTTTTTTTCTGTTTGTTTTTTCTCCCATCAACATTTTAATGATGATTATGAATAGGATTTCGGTGACGTTTTTGTTTCCTTCTACACTTTTTGCATTTCCCAAATTTTCTACAATGAATATGCATTACCTCCATCATAAAAAAAGTCTTTAAAAAATTTACCCTCTGTTTATCTCTCTTCCCTGTCAGCAATGCTGCTAGGGCTCCCCAGCTCCTGGATGTGCCACCGAAGACACTTCTACTACTACAGTCTACTCATTGCCTGTTTATTTTTTTATTGCCTCTTCTAAATACCTCTCTAGACAGGAAGTCTCAGCAGGAAGCAGATATACCCTCAAACTGGATAAGTTGAGGAGAGTTTGGTGAAGGTGTGGTCGGACAGCAAGGAAACCACATGGGATGGCACAGTAACAGAGCTAGCGGCACCTGGTTAACAGTTGTCCATCCCTGGAAGAACATTCTGGAGAGGTGGGAAGCAAAAGCAGAGAGAGAGGAGGGAGCAGTTACTTCTAGAATTTGGAGAGAGCCACCTGCCAGGACCTGTGGTCTACAGCAGGGGTCCCCAACCTTTTTGGCGCCAGGGACCGGTTTCGCGGAAGACCAATTTTCCATGGATGGGGTGGTGGTGGCGGGTGGTGGTACAGGCGATAATGTGAGTGATGGACAGCGGCAGGTGAAGATTTGCTCCCTAGCCCGCCACGTCACCTCCCGCTGGGCGGCCCGGCTGCTAACAGGCCGCGGACCCAGTAAGTGGCCCGGGGGCTGGGGACTCCGGTCTACAGTCTAGGGGCACAGACATCTGCAGTGAGTGTGTAGGGAGGAACCTGAGGGAACAAATACCCTGGCCTCACTCTCCTCCATCCCTCTGCCCTCCTGAAAGGGTCTCCCTTGCCAGAATCCAACCAGAAGTCAGAGAGAGAAGGGAGCCTGTTGGTATGATCCGTGAGGGTCAATGTCCTAGGACACAGAACGAAGGGAGGACGGAGAGTGTCTTAGGCGGCATTATGGAAGCTCTCCAGGGCCATTTCACATTGAGATAGAGCTCTGAGCGCAGTGCTGGGCTTCCCCACCCAGTACAATGCTGGGCACAAAACAGGTGTTCATTAATGTTGAATAAATAATCATGAACTAGAAGGAGACAGATTTTTAAATTGTAAAACACAGCTAAGGTTTACTACTGTAGCCATTTTTTCCAGCTTTATTGAGATATAATTGACACATAAGATTGTGTAAGTTTGAGGTCTACAATGTGGTTTTCTTTTCTGCGGTACGCGGGCCTCTCACTGTTGTGGACTCTCCCGTTGCTGAGCACAGGCTCCGGACGCGCAGGCTCAGCGGCTATGGCTCACGGGCCCAGCCGCTCGGCGGCATGTGGGATCTTCCCGGACCGGGGCACGAACCCGTGTAGGCGGACTCTCAACCACTGCGCCACCAGGGAAGCCCTACAATGTGTTGATTTGATATATTTATATGTTGCAAAATGATTACCACCATAGCCATTGTAACTATCTTAAAGTCATCAGTTAGTTTTATTCTTTTTATTTTTTTTTATTTCTTGGCTTCGCCACGCAGCATGCAGGATCGTAATTCCCCAACCAGGGATCGAGCCCGCACCCCCTGCCTTGGAAGTATGGCGTCTTAACCACTGAATCACCAGGGAAGTCCCTAAAGTCATAAGTTAGTGATGTTAAGTACATTCAAGATGTTGTGTAGGTATCACCACTACCTAGCTCCAGAAATGTTTAATCACCCCAAAAGGAAGCGCTATACCAATAAAGCAGTCACTCCCCATACCCTCCTCCCTCTAGCTCCTGGTAACAACGAATCTGCTTTTTGTCTCTATAGACTTACCTATTCTGAATATCTCATATAAACATAACTGCAGGCTGAATTTTGCAGGTAGGTAACTTACACCTTCATCTCTGACTTCCTTCTCCCCTCCCCACCCTGAAATTCTGCTTGTAGTTTCACACACTTTGCTTATCAGGCCACTCTGGTAATGAGGGTGGGGTCGGAGTATGGGGGCCTAGCCTTCCTCTTCCCCCTCCCTTGCTCCCTCTGGAGCCCAGGGGATGAGGGGGAAGCTGCCAGTGGATAATGAGACCCCTTTCTCCCTTAATGACTCTGGGGGCTGCGGGGATGCCGCAGGCTAGCTCTGCCCTAATTAATTAATAGGGAGTGCTTCCCACAGAGGAATTAGCCTCGATTCCTCCATCTCAGGCTCCTCTTGGCTCAGCCGTGGCTCAGGCCCCACCCCACAGCTGGAGCAATCATCTGGGACAATCTGGGGATGCTCTATGAGGGCTGGCCTGCCCTCCTAATGCTAGGGCCAGAGCTGGAGCCTCTGGTCAGAGTGGACCTGGGGTGGGCTCACACTCTGGCCACACCATTTATTAACAATGTGGGCTGTAACTTAACTTCTCTGAGCCCCCTTTACACCTATAAAAGGGAGCCAGTAGCTTTTCCCTTATTGAAAGAATGAGAGAGAGACACAGGGCCAGGCTGAGGGTGAGGAGAATGAAGCACTCACCTGGGCTGCGAAATGTTTAGGAGAGCCGAAAGAAACTCTGTAATTAAGATAAATAATATTAGAATATTAGTATTGGAATATTAACTTTGAGAAGTGATAGATATGTTTATGGTCTTGAGGGTGGTGATGGTTTCATGGGTGTATACTTGTTCCCAAACTCATCAGGTTGTATACATTAAATACGTTCAGATTTTTACAGGTCATTTTACCTCAGTAAAATGGTTAAAAAAAAAGAAAAGAAAAGAATAGGGCCGTGAGATACACAGTGAGTCTGTGTGTAACTGTAATTTTGAAATAATGAAATAAGTCAGATTTTTTTCTTTATAAATTATTCTTTGGGGATATAGTTCTGTTATCTTTTCCCCATTCAGAGATAATAAAGATAGTCTCCTAGAAAAAAGATAAATAATATTCCAATGGGAATAATTAAAAAGTCACACAAAATTAATGCAAAAATCCGTGGTAAGCAAAATATCGAAATGTTAAAGACAGAAATCAGTACGAGTATTGAGCTGAGCCATATGGAAGTCTGAAGCACAAGGAGAAACCAGGAATTCTGATCCTGTCTTTATTTGAAACGTTGATATTTTGTTCATTGTGGATTTTTTGTATTAATTTTGATTTTTAAAAATATTGCATTGCAATATTATGTATATTAAATATTGAGTTTTTTGGGCACTCCTTTACTTTTCCTTAAATTGAGGTGAAATTCAAACAACATGAAATTAACCGTTTCAAAGAGTACAATTCAACTACTCAGCCATAAAAAAGAATGAAATAATGCCATTTGTAGCACCAGGATGTAACTAGAAATTATCATATTAAATGAAATAAGTTAGAAAGAAAGATAAATGCCATATGAAATCACTTATATGTGGAATCTGAAATATGACACAAATGAACCTATCTATGGAACAGAAACAGAATCACGGACGTAGAGAACAGACTGGTGGTTGCCAAGGGGGAGGGCGTTGGGGGAGGGATGGAGTGGGAGATGTAAGCTTTTATATATAGAATGGATAAACAACAAGGTCCTACTGTATATCACAGTAAGATGTTACAAAAACCCGAAAGAACTTTTGGGCCAACCCAGTATATTCAATATGCCATGATAAACCATAATGGAAAAGAATATAAAAAAACATTATATCTATGATATCTATATTATAGATACAACTGAATTACTTTGCTGTACAGCAGAAATTAACATTGTAAATCAACTATACTTCAATAAAAAATATTAAAACTAAAAAATAAGTACAATTCAGTGGCATTTGGTACATTCACAATATTGTTCAACCATCATCTCTATCTAGTACTGAACATTTTCATCATCTCTAAAGGAGACCCACCCCCAGCCCCGGGAAACCACTGGATTTGCCTGTTCTGGACAATTCATATAAATAGAACCATACAATATGTGAACTTTTGTGTCTGGATTTTATCATTGTGCATAATGGTTTTGAGGTTTATCTACGTTACAACATGCATCAGTGCTCCTCATACATTTTGTACCCATGGTGAGCGCTTCACTTGCCTCAGCCTCATCCAAGCCCTGAAGAATTATAGCAGCTAATTTTGTTTTTGGATTCCAATCTTTTTTATTTTAATAACAAATGCTCCCCTGTCTGTGCTATGATGCTGATACCATGCTCTTTATTAAAATGATGTTTTTCTTGCATACTAGCAGAGGACCACGGGGCATGATGGTATTTTGAGTACCCAAGGAGAGGACCTTCTTTTTTTGTTTTTTGCGGTACGCGGGCCTCTCACTGTTGTGGCCTCTCCCGTTGCGGAGCACAGGCTCCGGACGCGCAGGCTCAGCGGCCATGGCTCACGGGCCCAGCCGCTCCGCGGCATGTGGGATCTTCGCGGACCGGGGCACGAACCCGTGTCCCCTGCATCGGTAGGCGGACTCTCAACCACTGCGCCACCAGGGAAGCCCAGGACCTTCTTTTTTTCATTGTGTCCTTTTCTTTCTATTTTATCTTTCTGGACGCAGATCCTCTTTTCTCAACTCATCTTTCCTTGGCTCTACCTCCGAGGACCCACTCCTCCACGCCCACCTTGAGTCCTGAGTGCCGCCCCTTCCTGATGCTCCCACCCCTCATCATCCAGACTCATTCTCACACATCCTTTACTCTCTCCTAACCACCTGCTTTTCACTGTTGCACATCAACCCCATCAGCCCACTTCTAGCTTCTCCTGCCATCCCTCTGTGTCCCTTCCTTTTCCCTCTGCTCCTCTTTGTGTCCTACTGTCCAGTCTCATCCCTCCTGCCTCCATGTTTCCTTCAGTCTCTAATAGCAGCTAATTTTTATTGACCCCTTCATGTACGCTTCATTTTAAAAACTGAGATATAATTGACATACAACATTTCGTAAGATTAAGGTGTACAACATGTTGATTTGATACATTTATATATTGCGATATGAGTTGAGTATCACCATAGCATGGGCTCACACCTCTCTCACACCACCTAATTATCATTTCTTTTTTTGTAGTGAGAACATTTAGGATCTACTCTCTTAGCAACTCTGAAGTTTATAATACAGAATTGTTGATGATAATCACTAGGCTGTGCATTAGATCTCCAGATCTTATTCATCTTCTGGTTCATGTAACCCTCACTACAACTCTACAGATGCAAAGGCTGTGAGCATTCCCATTTTACAGACAGGAAAACTGAAGCTTGGAGAAGTAAAGCAACCTGTTGTAAGCCTATGGAGCTAATTATTGGGGGAGTGGATGGTAGCCTGATTCCAGGTGCAGTACCCTTAATACTATGTAGGGAGAGTACACGGGCAGTGCCTGGCATAGAGTGGGTTCTTGGTACATGCAGAATAGCTCAGGTCATGTGGATCCAAAAAGGAGAGGCTCTGCCTGGGCCCCGACTAAGCTCCCTGATTTGCTTCCCAAAGGCTTCCTAGCTGGGGACAGGTAGATTTTGAATAGCCTGTTGGAATATGTTGGGGAGAGATGCACATGCTACCGTCCTTGCTGTGTGTCAAACTCCCCAGGCACGTCCTGCTCATAGCCTTTGCATTTGCTGTTCCCTCTGCCTGGATTGCTCTTCCTCCAGATATCCTCATGGCTCTCTCCCTTATCTCCCTTGTGCCTTGGCTCAGATATCACCTTCACACCCAGACCTTTACCCAATAAAGAATGTTACTCCTTCATACATTCTTTTCCTGATGATTTTTTTCCATAGGGCTTATCACCATCTGACAACAGTTTGCAAAGTGTAGTCTTGCAGAACCCTAAGGTGTGGTATCCCTGAGATTCTTTCAGGGGGTCGTCGTGGTCAAAACTATTTTCATACTAATTTTTAGGATATCCTAATTTACTAGGTTATTATTTGTTTTTTTCACTATGCTAATCTATGCACTGATGGTACAAAAGCAATGGTAACAATTGTAACATTTTAGCATGGATCTTAATGGTAACATCTTAGCATGGATCCAGGCAGCAACACCAACCTGTGCTAGGAATTGTTATATTCTTTGTTGTTGCACACTAATGGTTAAAAAAGCCAACGAAAGCCAGTTTTGCTTTATCGTGACCTTGATGAAGCAATCCTTGGTGGCGCAGTGGTTAAGAATCCACCTGCCAATGCAGGGGACACAGGTTCGAGCCCTGGTCCGGGAAGATCCCACATGCCGCAGAGCAACTAAGCCCGTGTGCCACAACTACTGAGCCTGCGCTATAGAACTTGTGAGCCACAGCTATTGAGCCCATGTGCCACAACTACTGAAGCCCACATGCCTAGAGCCTGTGCTCCGCAACAAGAGAAGCCATCGCAATGAGAAGCCCGTGCACCGCAACGAAGAGTAGCCCCCCCGCTCGCTGCAACTAGAGAAAGCTTGTGCGCAGCGACGAAGACCCAACGCAGCCAAAAATAAATAAATAAATAAATTTATATAAAAATTTCATTTGATTAAATCACAACTCTTGAGTGCATGTCTTTATCTTGCTCCGATTTTAATTGGAGTATTCTTTTCTTTTAGAGACAATTTTTTAGAGCAGTTTAAGTTCACAGCAAAATTAAGCAGAAGGTACAGAGATTTCCCATACACATCCTGCCCCTACTAGTGCACAACCTTCCTAGCTCTCAAAGTCCCCACCAAAGTAGTGCGTTTGTTACAACTGATCAGCCTACATTGACAGCTCATTATCACCCGAAGTCCACTGTTTACATTAGAGTTCACTCTTAGTGTTGTATGTTCTAAGGGTTTGGAAAAATGTATAATGGCCTGTATCCATCTATACTATCATACAGAGTAGTTTCACTGCCCTAGAACTCCTCTGTGTTCCATCTATTCATCCCTTCCTTTCCCCTAA